TCAATAAAATTCTACTGAAGTTACCTTGAGGTAGGTTATTAAACCAAAAAAAAAAAGATCAGATGAAGATTGTGGTCAACAGTCCTTCCTCAAGTATCCTGAAACTTCCTGTCATATTATTATTGTTATTTATTATTTATATTTTGCCCTACTCAGGCTCAGGGATAAAAATCATCTTTATAGGGAACGGTGCTGTCTCAAGAGCCAGTCCAAGACCAGGGAGAACAGGAAAGGAAGCAGCAAGTAGAGTAACAGATTCAACAGGGGAATAGAATTGAAGTGGCGCTCAGGGAAGATGAAGAGCTGGTTTGTGGCTCATTTGCCAAAAATGTTCATCCCCACTGTCTGCTTTAGTACATTCTGGAAGACTGTCATAGCATGATGATTGAGGTGTTTTAAGAATTTATCTAGGATAGAGCATGGATTTAGCTGTTGTTTGTCTTACAAGAATTTTTGAGGATGGGTCACTGAAATGGTTATCAATCTGTAATATAAAACTGGGATTAGAGCAAGGGTGGCCAGTTTGCAGCGTTGTGGCGTGCAACAGATTGGGGACGGAACAAGCAATACAGTGGCAGATAGGACAGGAAGCAGAAAGCAGGGCAGCAGATGGGGTGGGACACATAAGGCAGGAAGCAGAAAATTGGGTAGAAGAGATTCAGAGTGGCACTCTGAGGGTGCAGTGCTAATTTGTGTCACTCCTGCTAAAAAGATTGGCCCCCACTGGATTAGACAACAATGATGTAACTACTTGAACTGTGTTAATTCTGCATTATTTTTTCAAAGTGCATTCCCCATGGGCTGGACCAATAAGAGCTATTGCCATTACTGTTCCCTTAGTTGTCATCTCAGCATTTGCAACGCTTTTCACAGTGATGTGCCGCAAAAAACAACAAGGTATGATATTTATTTAGTATAGAGTTTTATATAAAGCTGAGGAGTTTCAGTTCAGAGCTAGCACAGACGGAAAACAGATTTATTCCAAACTAGGGCTGGGTATTTGTTCAGTCATATAAAGTTTAGTAAACTGACCAGTCAAATATTGGTCAAAAATTGTAAAAAATTGCCAGTACAGTCAAAGAATACACAGAAAAAGTACAATTTTTATTAAATGTGTCCATTAAAAATCATATTCTGTCAAGAAAACGGCAACTAAAAATATTTGATCCTTATAAAATTGCTATAATCTTCGACCAATCAAAAAAATATGCAGTTATTGACTGGTCAGCTGACAATATTTGACTGGTCAATGGACCGACTTGCCAAACATGGATTTCTTTTTCATTAATGCTTTTTATTTATTTATTTATTTATTTTCTTTTCCCCCATCTCCTTCCCTAGTTTTTCCATCTGCTGGAACTTCTAGCAAAGCACTAATCCTGTGTTTGGTGCTAAGTTAGTCTCATGAATAGTGTCACCAATCTTGAATCATGACTTATCTGCAAAATCAAGCTGAGGACTGGATAGGCTGTGTTAGGATTTTTGGCTTTGTTGGTTTGTTCAGAAAAATATTTGTTAGTCAAGATTAATGGAAATTATGAAACTGGAAGCTAAACAGATATAAAAGAGGAAATGTTATAAAATACTACAGATATGCCTAACTGGCGTGTGTTTTATAGTAGGAGGAAAGTAATACCCTAAAACAGCATTGTCCAGTTTGTGGCCTGTGGGTCGCACACTGTCTATGAGGGCTTAATATGTGATCCCCAGGCGTTTAAGTGACTGCTGCTCCCCCTATTGCTTTGCCTGCTGCTTCTGTATCTGGGGTCTCCAGGCTCCCTGTCCCTCACTCAGCTTTTGCTTCTGGCTCCAGCCCCAGGGGTGGGGCAGCATAGCCCCTCATAGGGTTCAGTGGAGTGGGGGATGTGGCCTATGGGCCTGTGCTTTATATTAAGCGACACACATCTCCTGGCTGCTTAGAAGTTTAATGTCCCTGCCCTAAAAGATGTAAATAAGCAGGAAGAATTCCCTGTACTCACTGGAACAGAGTCTTAACTAATTAGATTTAGTCCAAATTTGCTTATTTTCTTGGTGGTTGGCCTAAAACATCATCTTAAACCTTCTCTCTTCTCTAAGTCCTGCTGCTTTTGTAGTTTACCTGCAGGTGTTTGTCTGATCCCCTGGGCCAGGGAGGTAAGGAACAGTAAAGCTATGGCATGCTTCTTCCATGGTCTGTGGAAGTGATGTTGCCCCATTGGTGCCTGTTTATAGAGGAACCTTTCCAGAGGGTTCTCTGAATGATACATCGCTCTATTTCCTTTCCAAGCAGAATATCTTGCAGCTCTGAAGTTGGTAACACCCCCCCCCCTTGCAAAACAGCAGCAGCAGTAGCAGAAGGGGTACAATATGCATTATCCAGGGTGGGATAGGAAACAAGAATGTCTTGTGAATGAAGGGCGGTTACATTTGAGTAATGAGTCTGTGACAATTGAAGAAAAATGACCGTCTGTTACAGTGTGAAATCTTTTTTTTCTTTCTATTTAGAAAATATATATTCCCATTTAGATGAAGAGAGTTCAGAATCTTCAACCTATGCTGCAGCGCTCCATGTGGAAAGGCTTCGGCCCCGGCCAAAAGTATTCATCTGCTATTCGAGTAAAGATTGCCAGAAACACATTAACGTCATCCAGTGCTTTGCTTATTTCCTTCAGGATTTTTGTGGTTGTGAGGTAGCCCCACTTTTCTCCTCTTAATGTGTAGAATTGCCTTGTTCAAAACAGGACACGTAAAGCTCCTCATAGCCTGTCCTTAAAACATTTTATGTAGTCAGAGAGATTCAAGTCTCTTCCTGATACACAGACTAATTCCCATTTTTGCTTCTACCAATCTCCTGCATGAATTTTCTCTGTGCAGAGAAAAGAACAGACCACAGAATAAATAGAACGTAGCACCGGAGATAATGTGCACTGGGTCAGTCCTGATGCACTCACTCAGCCATCCTTAGCCCTTCATTCATTAACTATCCTGTTTAGTTATCAGGGTTTGTATCTATCTCCTTTAGAATGTAGTCACAAAGAGATACTTAGAATAGCTCAAGGCTTGTATTGTCCCCCCCCCCCCCC